AATCCATATGTGTACATACCTTAGTGCAGGCACCTGTGTAAACCCAATGATATTCTTTAATTTAGGAAAACTGTGTGACACAAGCAATCGTTTTTATTTATCTATTTATTTATTTATTATTTTACGTAAATTGCATGTATTATTCTGGTAAAACGTGACTTACAGAAAACGGTTTTGAAAATGGTATACAAGCCTTGCTGGTTTCATGCATATTACCGGTATATTTATAGTCTTATATATTATTTATATAATTATATGATACCAAATCTTCGGTTGCTTAATCAATTTGTGAACAATAACTTAAATATAAGTTTGAAGGGTTATAGGATAGGTTAACTAACCAGATATGGCTCAATGACAGCCGTGATATTGGTCAATGATAGCCGGGATATTGGTCAATGACAGCCGAGATATTGGTCAATGACTGCCGGGACATTGGTCAATGACAGCCGGGACATTGGTCAATAACAGCCAGGACATTGGTCAATGACAGCCGGGATATTGGTCAATGACAGCCGGGACATTGGTCAATGACAGCCGGGATATTGGTCAATGACAGCCGGGATATTGGTCAATGACTGCCGGGACATTGGTCAATGACTGCCGGGACATTGGTCAATGACAGCCGTGATATTGGTCAACGACAGCCGGGATATTGGTCAACGACAGCCGCCGGGACATTGGTCAATGACAGCCGGGATATTGGTCAATGACAGCCGGGATATTGGTCAATGACAGCCGGGATATTGGTCAATGACAGCCGGGATATTGGTCAATAACAGCCGGGATATTGGTCAATGACGGCCGGGATATTGGTCAATGACAGCCGTGATATTTGTCAATGACAGCCGGGATATTTGTCAATGACAGCCGGGATATTGGTCAATGACAGCCGGGACATTGGTTAATGACAGCCGTGATATTGGTCAATGACAGCCGGGATATTGGTCAATGACAGCCATGATATTTGTCAATGACAGCCGGGATATTTGTCAATGACAGCCGGGATATTGGTCAATGACAGCCGGGACATTGGTTTAATGACAGCCGGGACATTGGTTAATGACAGCCGGGATATTGGTCAATGACAGCCGGGATATTGGTCAATGACAGCAGGGATATTGGTCAATGACAGTCGTGATATTTGTCAATGACAGCCGGGATATTTGTCAATGACAGCCGGGATATTGGTCAATGACAGCCGGGACATTGGTTAATGACAGCCGGGACATTGGTTAATGACAGCCGGGATATTGGTCAATGACAGCCGGGATATTAGTCAATGACAGCCGGGACATTGGTTAATGACAGTCGGGACATTTGTCAATGACAGCCGGGACATTTGTCAATGACAGCCGGGACATTGGTCAGTGACTGCCAGAATATGAGTCAATGACGGTCGTGATATTGCTCATGATATGGCTCAATGACTGCCGGGACATTGGCCAATGACTGCTGGGATATTAGTCAATGACTGCCGGGATATGGCTCAATGACGGCCGTGATATGGCTCTTGATATGGCTTAATGACTGACAGGACATTGGCCAATGACTGCCGGGATATGGCTGAATGAGTGCCGTGATATGGCTCAATGACTGTCGTGATATGACTCAATGACTTTCGGAATAGTCTAAAAAAAAGCTGACGAGATATGGCTCAATGACTGACTTGATATGACTTCCGTGATATGAATCAATGACTACCGTGATATGGCTCAATGACTGCCGGATATTGCTCAATGACTGCCGGGATACGGCCTTATGACTTGCGAAATATGGCTCAATGACTGTTGTGATATGGCTCAATGACGGCCGTGATATGGCTAGATGACTGTCTTGATATGGCTCAATGACTGCCGTGATATTGCTCAATAACTGCCGGGATACGGCTTAATGGCTGCCGGGATATGGCTTTATGACTGCCTGATATGGCACAATGACTGTCGGGCTATGGCTTTGATTGCTTGGATATGGCACAATGACTCCCGGGATATGGCTTAATAACTGCTTGGATGTGGCTCAATGACACCCGGGATACGACTCAATGACTACGTGATATAGCTCATTGACTGCCGGGATATGGCTTAATGATTGCCGTGATATGGCTTTATGACTGCCTGATATGGCTCAACGATTGCCGTCATATGGCTCAATGACTACCGGGATATGGCTCAACGATTGCCGTGATATGGCTCAGTGACTCCTATGATTTTGCTTAAAGACAGCGGGTTATGACATAATGAATCCCGTGATATGGCTCATTGACTGCTGGGATATTGCTAAATGACTGCGTGATATGGCTCAATGACTGCCGGTTTCTAATTCCTTTAGAAGGTGTGTCTTGTTTCACCCGGCGGACAGCCTAAGTTAACAACTTGTAAATCAAGCGTTGGAAACTAAACCGTCAGTAAAAAGTATCTATTAGCCACTGCATAATCTTAGCTCAAAATAAAACAACTTGTAATTGTTTTACATGTATATATAAATTGCATGTAGTAATTGCAGTGTGTTGCAGTATACACTGTGAAATTGTGATTTTTACAAACTGCGTGATGATTTTAGACAGTACTTCCGGTAAAAACAAGCAACTGCGTAATCAAATCTGTTTTGATATTTTTGTGTCAAAGACCTTAACAATTAACGTAGATGCTTCTCGACGCACGTGATTATCGTATTCAAAAATAAATGTAGGTAGGGTAGGCCTTGTGGAACAAGACCTTGATAAAGTTCGAGGAACCGCGTATTAATATTTAAAAAAGAATCCGCATGCCGATGACCTTTTGGATCACAACTTCATACATTGTTTTTGAAGAAACTTTTTAGCCTTAACTCGTTGAAAATGACTTTTAAAAACTTGTTCAAGCAATATAATGTAAAAACATGCAATGACATTATACCATATTGTTTAAACAGAACTAGCTAAGAATCACAAACAATTCAAGCTCCAGTAAAATGCGTATTAAAACCGTCCAGTTACAGCGTTTGCCCGTGAATCGTGCAAACAGGGTTCGATTCCCGGACGGTGCTGATCAATTTCGTTGTGATTGATCATGACATCCTCATACAGTCATTCGCACTGTACCTCTTCTTTGGTATGTACAAAAGTTATCAGTTCCTTGCAAAAGTGAAGGCAACCAGTACTGCTAAGTAGTATTCTGGTAAAATGCACAGACGTTTGGGGGTCAGATCATCCCCCCAATAAGACTTGATGGTATACGGTATTTTTCATAATATGTAAAAATTGTTTGAAAACCATTTTATCGTTGTAATAGATGTCCCATTCGTGCTTAAATATTAAAATAGTTTTGGTAGAGTGTTTACAGGGGCGTATCACGTTTGGGGGGGGGGGGGGCAGGATCTGACCCCCAAGCGTCTGTGGTAAAATGTGCAAGTTCAAAGCCTTAGCAAGAAAAAAAGACTATTTAAAACGACATGCGCCACAAAATAACAAAAAATAAAATAAAATAAATAAATAAAATAATAAAAACAAAAACAAAAGGAGGGGATTAGGCCTGCTAGTGCATATCTCTACACCACGTTGTCGGGCAAATTGTCGGATGTGGCAGAGGTTTTCGCGCCAATTTTTAAAGTAAAGACAATTGTGTGCTTATCAAGAATGTTTCTTATGGTGATGATAGCCTCAGCGTGGACGAATTAGCCGGGACTTTATGACCTGAATGTCCTCACAAAGCGGGGATTTCATCAGGAGTAGGTATAACTCATTGTTATATATAGTCCCCGCACTTTGGAATTACAAATGACTCGTACGTACAAACTTTCACACAAATTCAGGGGAGGTAATGACATCAATCCTATTACACTACCATATAATATTATAGACCATGTAACTTTTTTCTTTTTCTTTCTTTTTTTTTTAAATGAGGGTACATTTGTTTGTACAGTACAATACTGTTAACAATTCATATTAACAATTTGTTATTTGTAAATTAGACTTAATCTGTTTCGCTTTAGAATTACATATATATCTATTTGGCAGTGAGTGTGGAAGGTTGAGATACGTGTTGCAGTATTACTTCCCTTTATCTGTAAAATACGTGTGTATACCTACATTTGTATATGCATCACCATGTGTGTTTACTTCTGATTCATGCCATTGTACATAACGTTAGAATCATTATAAATTTGCACAATTATGAGTACAAGCAGGCCTAAGCTTGTGTGACGAAAAACGTCTTTTAAAGGCCCGTGAAGCCCCCCCCCCCCCCCCCCCCCAAATTAGAAATAATTCAAAATCTTTTGGTGTTCAAAGGGTTACTAGTTGAACAATCTTTTACATATTTTGCTCTTTAGCAATTGCTAGAGTTATATAGTATATAATAATATAGTTTCAAGAATTCTATGTCGAACTGAGTCAAAATACTACTTTGTTTACATTTTGCTTACTACCTTTGCGATACACTACCGTTACTCTTTTTAGAGAGATCCGTTAATTTAACACCAAACATGCTCTAAAAATTCATATATTAATTCTTTATTAGATTTTAGATCTATAAACATGTTCGGCATTTCTATAAAAAACACAACAAAAAACAGATTCCTGATGGAGTGATGGTTAATGTGCCTTTATGTCGTGCCGCTAAGTTTATATACTCTGCTTCATTAAACTCGGCATCGTCTAATTTTCACTTTTAACACTATGAAAGTGAGTTTCCAATTGATAATGATAATATGGACAGCATCCTTGTCATTTTAGAGTTGATTAGAATTTTGAAGTTTTGATTATCGCAGACGATGACTTCAATGGATCTGGTTATTAATATCCTTACTGTAGAGATTAAAAATTCGGACATCCGCGCCACTTAAGATAATCAAAATCCCGTATTTCCCCTGCGTAAACAAGTATTTACGGTTGAGAGAATAGCTACTATTTCGCTCTTTTTGAAACAGACTATAGACGAGATAAGCGGTGGTGCGAGACTACCACGAGGCGTGACGTCATCGACTAGACGGCTACAATGCAAATGTGTAGACAACGGCTAGTGTATTTCCAAATGGACAGGTCATCGTGTATAGTCTGGTATTTGCAGAGTCTGCATCTATCGTTATAAGTAGAAAACCCCAGTAATAGCATATTAACATTTATCCCACGTTGAGTTTTCTTCTCACGTAAATTCGATCTTAAAATATTTAGTCTTATTGGAAATTTGCGCATGGCCTGTACAATATGCGGGAGGTAAATGGAACGGCCATATTATTTCTCAATTAGACATGCAACGGTATGTTCTTAGTGGTTAATTCGACTTCTAGGTATTTGTTTGATGGATTATATGAGATAGAAAGTAAAACTTATGTGATGGATAAGATAAACTTAGGACATTCTATGAGTTTTTAGTGAAGTAAACAACCCAAGGTCAAAATGCACATGTATAGTTGATAAATGGAAGAGCCGCCACACTTTGTGTTATCCAATCAAAGTCTAGTCTAACAGTCAGTGTTATGTCTTCAATGTGTACTGTATGCAAAGACCGACCCGTAACGGAGAGGAAATATTATGTCAGAAATTCGGAGTTTATAACTAAAATATGGATGGATAATTAACTTGTTTAATGGAAGTTGCACCACAGTCAGTTAGCCCGCACATTCAGCGGGTGCTGAAGAGTTTTCAAACGTCAGCAAATCGGACTTTACAAGGGCCAGCCGGTTTAGTTTTGTTACAACCTAACAGTCATGAAATCCAACAAATGGCGAAGATTTCGTCCGATGAATATCGTAAAGCCTTGGTGGCGAAAAGTAAAGAATTAGAACACATGTATCGTTTGCAAGCGCCGATCCCATTACAACAGTTTCCGGTGTTTACCCCAGCGGATTCGAGCCGGAGTGAACAAACTGAAACCCTTTTAGAAGGAGAGAAAATAGCTTGTTTTGTTGTTGGTGGTGAAAAGAGATTATGTTTACCACAAATTCTGAACACAGTGCTTAGGGATTATGAGTTACCAGAAATACATTCTGTGTGCGATGATCTTCATATTTTCTGCTCGCGATGTCAACATGAACAACTGGACATATTAAAAGCATCAGGAATATTACCAAGGAGTGCGCCAAGTTGTGGACTAATAACGAAAACTGATGCTGAGCGTCTTTGTAACGCTTTAATTCGCACACCAAATGACACAACAGCCCCGAATCACCCATCCCACAACAGTTTCAAAGTTTACCATGAGTGTTTTGGAAAATGTAAAGGAAATTTCAATCCAGACGCATACACATCGTCAAAAGCCCTTTGCATACAATGTGTAGATTGTGGTAGATGGTTTACACCACAAAAATTTGTATGTCATTCCCATAAAGCATTGGAAAATCGTACATGTCACTGGGGATTTGATTCCGCTAATTGGCGTCACTATCTTCTTTTGGCTAAGCATCAACCAGGGATAGAAAAGTTGCAAGATGTCTTGGAGGTGGTTAAAGGCCGATTTGACTCGAGTAACAAGTACAAAAGGAAGCAACAGGTAATTGTTGAATAAGATATACAAGTACTACTGTTAACTGGATCGCGTTACAGCGAAACTGTTTTTACATTTGGAGTGAGGTTCAGACTATCTAACCCATACCAAATGCAAAAATACCCAGTACTTCAACAGTTTACTCAGTAAATACATGACTAAAACCCACCATTTAGATTTTAAAACAGGGTTTTTCGATATATTTAAGTGGAGTTGGTTAACCTTTCATTATAAATAACTAACAACTTTCCAATCAATCTATGCATAGATCTATTATACATCTGTCCATATTACAAATGTTGCTGTGTTGAGACTCAATACAACAACATTTGTGATATGAGTTCAGGGATTTTTTTGGCTTATTAATACTTTTTAGCCAATATTTGGTTATATTTTCAATTGAAAATATATAATTTCCCAATCCACAGGAAAAAATACTCAATTAAATGTTACAAAATAAAAATATTGAATTACAAATTCTAAAATCTTTGCAAATAAGGGCTTCTGCTTAAATGTTTGAAGGTGCCATCCTAGACAGTAATTCTTTGCATTCATTTAATCACTGCAAAATTTAAGTCTGGCATTTTTTAACCACTGTTTAAATAAACGTTGTGAACTTAATTCCATGGAATGGCTCCATTGCCAAAATTAACAAAGTGCCATTAGGTATTTTTTTTGGTCTGTATGACATTTTTGTCAAGGTTTTGAACATGCCATATGAATTGGAATTTTAGCAATGTTTCGTAAAAATTACAATCATTACTTAAAAATTGTTTGAAGTTATTCAATTAAAAATTTGTTGATTGAAAATTCCCTTTTATCTTGCTTAAAAATGCATAATTTAATTAGAAGCTTTCAGAGTCAAAATTAATTATACATGTATTGATAATTATACATGTGCACACTTGAATTGTCAAATGCCTGATAATCCTTTGGGACCTGACCTGTTTCCAACCAGACAGTCTAATAGCCATGGCAAGTTAAGTAACATGTTTATTAAGCTGTGACTGTGTATTTTAGAAAGCCATTGATGATGTAACATTACATGCCATATTGTTATGTTACCACAGATTAGTACAATACTTTTCAATTTATTATGTAATAAGATATGCCAAAGACATGTCAAATATGCAGTGTCTATCTAGGATTCGAAAAACGGGGATTTTTAACGAAAAATGAGAATTTATTATTTTTTGATGATCTTTTTCCTTCTTTCTCTATCCCTGCCTCTGAAAAAATAGGGGGGAATCTCAAAAATATGAGTGAATCCCCCAATCCCCCATCCTAGAATAGACACTGAATATGTGGTTATTTTGTTGTTGTTGTTTATTTTGGAATATTATACATGTTAGAAGTTACAACCTTTTGAAAACTAGAACACAGTATTCTTTTATCTTGTTTGCAGGGCGGGAATTATATTATACTTATTTTTTTGTTTTTCTAAGTTACAAGGCAATGAAAACTTTGGAAGTGTAAAGTTCTGTGTTGTAGCTTTAAGATGGAATAAATGAACTCAAAAGCACCAGGTAGAGTAGGGACAAACTTTTTCATAATCAATCTATAGGCATTTGCAATTATATGGCCCCTTCTGCTCCACATAGAACTTATTTATGCTAAATTTATTTTACAAAAATTAACCAAGAAAAAAAAAGAAAAAAATATTATTAATTAGTCTTTTTAAAGTTATAAACCTTTGTCACCAGTATTGAGCCGGGCTGGCCAGCACATCCTAGCAGTCTGAACAGCCTGCGAAGCTCTGTTAATTATAGCTCTTTATATTTTGGTATAGAAATCCCTCGGGTGGACAGTCCCCCTAAGCATTGGTCAAATCTATTAAATAGCATAAATATTAAAATCATACTGTATTATAGTGTATACATTATATGACAAGCGGCCAGGTCATTTGCAATATAAGTGGGGATAAAGACTGACATAAAAGTTTTGACCAGTCTACTCTTTTTTTCTATTTAATTGCGGTCAATTGGTAAACAGTCATAAAAATCTCCCTATCGTACTGTTTGTGTGTTCATTGACCCTGTTCAAATAGGTACATGTCTCTATGGCGGCGCAATGAATTTATCTGCATACTTGGTCTTATTTGTTAATACTTGCGTATAAAAAAGCTATTTTACGCATGGTCTAGTGTGTTTGTAAAGTGAGGTTTTGCAATCAATAGGCAGTGTTAAATTTCATGGGTTATTTTTAAACATTTTATTTACTTAGGTCATGATATTTCGTAAAGGAAATTTTAAACAGAACATGGAAAAAAGCTTAAAGACTTAGTGTGAAATGGCTGTTGTGTTTGAATATATTTTTTAGCATAATTGTATAATTGATATGTGCCTCGGCAGTTTACAATGTTTAAACATTTCATTACAAAATATTCAAATTAATTTGATATGAACTTAAAAGTTTTAAATCTAATCAATGTATTCTGTAGGGCTCTAAAATAAAAAGTAGTTTTTGTATTTTTTCTCTTACATCTAAGATGTCACAGAAAAACAACTCCTTATTCACGAAACTGCACTGTTTAATTGCCCCCCAATGGGTGCCTCTACTGACCGAGTTTCTTCAGCTCATTCATCCTTGATGGATTGCCACAAACTGTACACATCTTGTGTGTGTACACTGTCTCGATATATTCATTATGTACACTTCACTACACATATAACTAATTTAAATTTATCATTTCATGATTTACAAAAGCAACTCCTGCATTATAATTTTCAACATTAATTCACTTTTTGAATTAAGATATACTATAAATTTATGTTTATGACTGCAAGGGATGAAGAATTAAAGATCATAGTCAGAATCAGATTGTCCCCAATTGATTTACCTGTAAAGGCCATGTGAAGGTAGTAGTGTTAATGTTAAAATAATAACATAAGACTAGCTAAAGGGTTTTACATGTATTTTTTTTTTTAAATTTTAATCTGCTTATTTTAGCTAAATGACCATTTCTTTTATTAATGAATGCAATTTTATTTATATCCAAGAATGGCAATATATATTTCATAAGATTATAGTACCTGTATGGCAAAATTTCAAAATAATAAACCCTCTCTGTCATTTGAATGAATAGGATTATAATAGGAAATAAATATATGCCTTATTTTCCTGGCTTCAGCTTATGTCAGTTTGCCCTTTACACCTTTGTTATTAGTATAACATAAATAGTCGGCTTATTGAATGGTTTTCAGCCTGTCATTGACCAGTTAGTTTCTAGACGCTCAGCATGGTGGCCAAGGTGATTGGCCGTCAAGTGAATGACTGACCGCCAAGTGAATATTGTCAAGCTTTTATTCCGCTGTAGACATTACAATAGTTAGTCGGTCAGTTATACCAGCTAAATGCACACAAACACCAATTTGATCCTAAATAATCCGACTTTGTTTGTATTATTACTGTAATATAGATTTATGTCAATAATGGTTTGAAATAGAAAAAGTGCAGTCTCAAATTATTAATTGAAATATGGTCTTATTTGTACATTGTATAATTCCTTGAATTTGAACGATAATTGGGAATTCACAGTGTACATTGATTTGAAAAGCTGGCTTTATTTTGCCCTTTTACTAAATTTAGATTTTAAACTTTGAAAATAACTTACAAATTTAAGAAAGTTACTTGTTTTAAATGATGTTTATAAAATCTGAAACAGAATTAAAAAACCCAGACAACGTTAATCTTGCTTTTAGTTTGACAGAGACAGACTGGATCAAAATGATCAAACTCAATTTACTGTGTCTGCCATTTTCTAGTAATTATTATTTTAATTTCATTCAATGATTGCCCTTTTCTTGCATTCTTCTAAATTATCTCGGGAGGATTGCGTCTTGGACATACATTTTGTTAGTCAAATGAACAAAGTTATCGTAATTTCAATGTATCATTTGATATTCTAATTTCAAAGACTTGTATTCAAGCTAGATAATGAGTCGCCTCATGACAAAACCAACATAGTGCGTTTGCGACCATGGCAGCATGGATCCAGACCAGCCTGCGCATCCGCGCAGTCTGATCAGGATCCATGCTGTTTGCTCTATTTGTAATAGGGTTGGTAAGCGAACAGCATGGATCCTGATCAGACTGCGCGGATGCGCAGGCTGGTCTGGATCCATGCTGGTCGCATTAATTTTTAACCCATTATGTTGATTTTGTCGTGACACGGCTCATATTTTAACCGTTAACAGTTACAATTATTTCTCTTATTGAATATTGAGGAAAGTAAATGGAAAAAAATATTGATCACGATCATTCAATATGTTTCATCAGATAGTTTTGTATGCCTCAAATTGTCAATTGAAAATTGATTTCCGTGTTGGCAGCCTTCCGGTGATATACCCTCTATCCCTCTCATTTGCCCTATTCTGTCTGATTGAAGTACTTGTTTATACAAAAAAAATAATACAAGGAAATATACAAGGCGTTGATGGAAATAGAATGACCCATAGACATTCAGTCTTCATTCTCGCTGACCTTTTATTGACGTCCCTCGGTCTCCTGTATGTAATGGTCTGAAATAGCAAGGCATTTTGTCTATTTTTTCCAATAACTTCCAATGACGTTTGGCTAGTCGGGTTTATTGACAAGACAATTGGAACCATGCCATGGACGTGGGCAGCCAGATCTCGCAGAAAAATCTAATTGGAAGAATCTCTTGCCTATTTGATTAATGATTATAATGTCTCCAACAGTGGCTGCCAGTATTGATTCTGCCGGGGAGAGAAAAAATAGCCAGTTTTCTATCAGAATGAGGGGCGCTGTATATTTGATGGATTGATAGGGCACTTTATCTTAGAGACTTCCATTCATGATTAGAAGAAAAGTGTCTGGGAAAGTGGACTGAATTATGTCTGTGGAAAAATAACACTGTGTTATTTTTATCTGTATATTATATTAATTAACATGAAAAAAACAACAATTTTAAAGTACACTACTGTCACTGACTTTTTGAGTTTTAGTTTTTGAACAGAAAATTAGTCAGTTTGAACTTATTTGAA